GACGATATTATATTGGGACTTTATTTGATTTATTTATGCATTCATTGTTTGCGGTTACCTTAGTTTTTCTTTGAATCCTAGGCATAGGCGAAATTATGTATCAACACAGAAGTATATACTTTCCGACTAGCTTGTGGTATAAATATAGGCCCCAAAATGCTTCCTTAGGCCTTGGTTTATGTTTTCAGACATTTTTTTCCGGAAAATTGTGTTTATCAGTTGGTCTGCGATATTGCATAGTTTTGACATTAGTCTATGCGGATTAATTCGGTGCGGGTTACAAGCAATGTTGGGACTGTTGGTCAGACTAGAGTACAGTTGAAAAAAAGGGGCTACCCAAATAAGAATTGTGTACCAAAATATTTCAATAGTTGCTAAGCCTTTATGTGCACCATGCGAACTTTTTACTCTGCAGCCAATCAAAGCTTCGAACGGCTTCATGGGATGCGCCTAGAAACCAGTCCCAGACCTGCAGAACTCTTCTTCCAGTCCCATTTTGAACAGGGGGCCAACTTTGGCGTCTCCAGGGCAACCGACAGCATGCCCAGCGCTTGGGGTACAGCAGTCGGAGAATTGGCTGCACAAGATCTACTGGGACTGCGTAACCTGCCCCCGGCCATTGAACAGTTGCCATACCAACGGGAGGCAGAAGATGAGCCGGCAGGGGGCCAGAGTGTGTCTAGATTCGGCCATTTGCCAGCCAGGGGTATGTACCTGCCTCAGGGCGGCAGTGGCGATGCTGGGACTCGAGCAGGAGGCGGTCGCACGGTGGGAGGGGGCCGGTCGAGACCGACACCGTCGGTGGAGAGAAGCACAAAGGCAGGCTGGTGGCCGGAAGATGCGTCTGCCTCGCATCTGCCCAGTTGCCGAGTGAGCAGGATGCTGAATCGAGCCCAATCGTGGGGCGGAGGGCTTCGGTCTGCAGGTCTTCTGCCGGGCGAATTTGACATGGACAGTTGCGAGGGAGAAGAAGAAGAAGAAGAAGAAGAAGAAGAAGAAGAAGAAGAAGAAGAAGAAGAAG